TAGACCAATCGGATTCGATACGATTGCTTAAAATTTCTCCGAAAAGATGTTGGTCCAAACCTTCTCTCGAGGAAGAGGACTCTCCGAGTATTGGGAGTCCGAGTCACTCCAATTCCGTGTGGAACTTATACAGTAATATTCAGATAACTTATCCCTTGGTGAATCTCTGAGTTTAATAATGTCCATATTTTATATATACTGTTCATTGTTTTTTTAACAATTTTATTGTTCTTATCTCAAACTTTCCCCTCACTAAAACATTTTTATAGTGTTTTCTTTTTAGAACAGTAAACAGTCTACATTTATCAATTGCGACACAAAAAGACGAAAAGCTTATCAAGAAGAGAAAAAAAGAGGTATGACACAAACCGTAGTGACATATATTTATTTCCTCTTAGGATTGAGGTTACTTTTGTAATTCACTTTATTTATGACATGATCGTTTATTATGACAAGAAATAACCACTAGACAAACCTTTTCCTGGTGGCTTGTAGTTTGTCAAATTTTATACCTATTATACGGAAAGTTAGAAAATCACTATAAAATAGAGAAGAAGGGGACAATCTCTTAAGTTAATGTGGTAGGTACGTTACACGTAGACTTCGTCGAGATATAACAACAGATCGCCACTGTGCTTACAACTAAAGACACAGCCACGCAGACACTGCGGCATGTGTACGGCTCCTTATAGGTACTGCAATATTTGAAGAGCTGGAGCAGCGTTCCGATGCTCTCCGTTACTCCTTTCAGACGAGACATAACCACGTGAAGACCTATGGTGAAGACACGTTACGCTCGTGTTGTGTTCAATGAACCTGTCCTTGGCCAGGAAAAACAGGCACTCGCTTGTTTAATTATTTTGCGATCTAGATTTCTTCTTCTTTTTTGAAGTCGGACGGACGGACCCCCCCAAAACGAAAATTCTTCGGTTCTCCACGAATTACACAAGTCACCCAAATCAGCGTTAAAAAAGCGGGAGGTGCCGAAAAGCGACTCATTTGCATCACTGTAAATAAAGAGATTTATATATTACATTTGTATTGTATCCCCGCTGTTGTTTCCTCTGTGCTGGAGGAGGGACGAGAACAGTTTGTTGGTAGAAAAGGGTCTGGATACTCACATGGGGTCTCCAGCAGGGGCAGGAAAGTGACTGTGGCAGTTATCTGTCTGATCACCGAGCGGATCTCATCCTGAATGATCTTAATGGACTTCTCTCTGGGGGCACTGGGAAACACACAAGAACAACTGAGTTAACGAGCATGCTATTATACTGTCATTGATGTGTGTCTATCACTACTTCCATCTGAAAAAAGATTTTAAAATATATAGATCCATTTTAATACCAGCATTTTATTTTCCCTACAACAGCTGGCCATGTAAGTTTTAAATCAAAGATGAGAAAACAGGACAATGTATTTTGGGATTTAGTCAAGATGAACTAGTTCACCTTAATAAAGAAACATTGATGCGTTTTAATGGTTTTTGTCTGAAAACTAACTATTGTTATTTGTATAGTTCTCTGGACAACCAAAATATTAAAAGCTAAAAAGGTAAATCAGATTTTGGATACACACACCTAATATTTTCAGTAGGTACACCCATCAGTGTACAAAAAAAGATCAGACTTTGACGTGTGCTCTGACTGCCACCCACTGGACTTTAAGTGCACAACACATTTTACCATTGGATATGGCAATTCTATCAAACTTAAATCCTTTGTTATCACCTACACTACAGATTAAAATATGTGAAAGAATTCCGCTGAATAGACATCACTAATTCAGGGTTTTGAGGACAGTATTCTGACCTGCTCTCCTTGGCAGATTTGTCACAGTCGATGTCAAACTGCCATCTCTCCAGCACCTCGTTGGTTTCCAGACATGTGATCACCAACACAAACTTCTGCACTGTGCACTCAAACAGCCACTCTGCAAAAGAGACAAAAACATTTACTTACACTTCATGGATAGCCTGAAAATAATCATATACCAAAATGCTATTTATGACAGTACACAATAGATATTAAAAACAGTGGACATAAGCATGGATTCTCCAAGTCAACTTGGAATGACTCAGGGACTGAGAGCTTAAAGAGCAACTTCCAGGTTAAAGACAGCTGTGAATAAATTTGTAGGAAAATGATGAATACACTAGATTTTCAAAAAAATATAAAGAAATATACACTACAGTGACATCTAAGTGAAAATGTCTTACAAAAACGACGCCAGATGTCACTGTAGTGTATATTTCTTTATATTTTTTTGAAAATCTAGTGTATTCATCATTTTCCTACAAATTTATTCACAGCTGTCTTTAACCTGGAAGTNACCATGCCCATTAGTGATGTCCCGATCTGATCACGTGATCGGGGATCGGAGCCGATCATGTGATTTTCAAAAGATCGGAATCGGGAGAAAATAATCGGGAATCTGGATTTTTTTTTTCTTTTTTTTTTTTTATAAATACTTTTTTTAAATTTTGTATTCAATGTTACAAAACAAAAATGACCAT